GAAGGGCTGGGAAGGTGGCTCAGTGGTAGAGTGCTTGCCTTGCATGCCTGAGGCCCTGGGTTTGATTCCCCAGCACCACATAAGCAAAAAGAAAAAAGCGGAAGTGGCGCTATGGCTCGAGTGGTAGAGCGGTAGCCTTGAGCTGAAGAGCTGAGGGACAGTGCCCAGGCCCAGAGTTCAGGCCCCATGACCGGACAAAAAAAAGAAAAAAAGTATCCTAGACCTTCCTGTGTGGGCTGGCAGTCCTCAGATCTCAGCTTCCTGAGTAGCTAGGATTAATTGAGCCACCATTATCTGGCTAAAGCCCATAGAATTTTATGACGAGTCAATTTTTTAATATGTTTTAATGAGACCAAATATCGCTCTTTAGCCCAAATTGGCCTCATATTCTCTCTGCATAGCCAAGGAAAGCTACAAACTCAAGATCTAGCACCTGGCTAGAATGTCCTTCTTGTAAAAGACTAGATGAGCCCGAATAATTCAAATCTTAATTTCTAAGATTTCCTAAAAAAAGAAACAAGGAAGTCAGGTGCCAGTGGCTCACGCCTGTAAATCCTAGCTACTCAGGAGGCTGAGATCTGAGGATCATGGTTCAAAGCCAGCCCGGGCAGGAAAGTCCGTGAGACTCATTATCTCCAATAAACTACCAGAAAACTGGAAGTGGCACTGTTGCTCAAGCAATAGAGCGCTCTCGCCTTGAGCTGAAGAGCTCAGGGACAGCTCCCAGGCCGAGTTGAAGCCCTACAACCAACCAAAAAAAGAAAAAAAAAAAAAAAGGAAACAAATCCTTGGAGAAATTGTGGATGCTTCTGGTACAAGAAATAGGTAAGATGTGCCTAAAACATTTTGTCATGCCTTAAAACAAGAAAGTGTTTAGAACATAAAGCCTATATGGGAAGGCTTTGAAATCAAAGGAATCTGAAGGTTAATAAAAGAGCTCCCACTGGTCAAAGCTGGAATAACTTGAGTAACAAAACTACTGAATTGCCAACCCAAAGTGTAAATTAAACATCATGAACACATATTGATATAAATGAGTCAACAGGAAACTTAGTAAATGGAGAAGAGACAAATTTCCTTGCAGAATAAATTCCACATAACTTTTTAGATACCTTGCCCTTGAGGGAGGCATGACTCTTGATCCTTAGGTGTGAGCTGTTCCCATTGACTTCCTTCTGAAGAGAACAGAATGGAAAGGGGGAGAAAGGTGCCAGGTGATGAAAGGCCAACATCAATTCTCACACATAGTGTTGCCTTGGATATGATGTGATGAAAATGGCACTTTAAGCCAGTACCAGTGGCTCACACCTATAATCCTAGGTACTCAGAAGGCTGAGATCTGAAGATTATGGTTCAAAGCCAGCTTGGGCAAGAAAGTCCGTGAGACTTATTTCCATTTATCCCTCAGAAAACCAGAAGTGCTACTATAGCTTAGAGTGGTAGAGCAAGGCCGCTCATCACTTCTCTTTTCATCCTTTTAATAGCCCCTAACCCCTATATAATAAGCAAAAGAAAAGTATCACATCCTACAGAATTCCTGATGAGTAACTTTTCATACTGAAAAATAAGTCCAAAACTGTCACCACTAAGAGGTAGCTGAAGAGACACAATAATTAAATATATCCTGAATAGTTTACCAGAAAACATTAGGTTAAAAACAAATTAACTCATTGACTTGGGTTAATAATACATCAGTAGTGGTTTCTTCAGTGTAACAAAGACATCATATTTATGTAATATGCTGGTAATGGGAAACTGGGTGTAGAGTGGATGGGAGCTGATAATCTTTTCCGTTTTTCTGTAAACCTAAAACTGCTCTTAAACAGTTCGTTACAAGCTGGGTTCTGGGGGCTCATCGTAGTTATTCAGGAGGCTTGAGATCTGAGGCTTGTAGTTCAAAGCCATAACAGTTAACCATCAAAAAGGCCATAAGTAGAGCTTTGACTCAAGTGATAGAGCACTTGAGAGTTCAAGCCCCAGGAACAGCGTGCTTGCACGCACGTGCGGACACACACACACACATACACACAGAGCAAAATTAATCTAGTAGCAGGGTAATGGGTATGGATGAAACAAACACCTTGGCTATGAGCTGACCACTGCTGGGGATGGTGGTAGATGTGAAGCTGAGAAGTTGGCAGAAGTGGAACTGGCAAAAGGCCTTTCTCGGCCTGACTGGGAAGGGCCCATTTTCTTTAGTCCCTGTGTTTGGTCACCTGCTCCATCTACCAGGCACTTTCAACTGTTCCTCAGTTACAGTGTTTCCAAGGTCATCTCTCTGTCCTTCTTTCTCCTGCTGTGTTATCATACTCTCTTCTCTCCCACTGGCCAGAGTCACAAAGGTCTCCTGCAACTTTAAACTAGTTTCTTTTTCACCCTCCCCACCCCCAAACAAAACAGAAGTATAATCCCCTTGCCCTGTGACGGCCCCTTAGATATTTCAAGAATGCTGTTTTGGTTTTCATTGAGCATTTCTGCAGCCAGGCACAGTGCCAATATTCCATTAATGGATCCTCTTCAGGCAGCACATCTTCCATTCCTCCAACCGATCTTCATGTGGCATAGTTTCCAGCCCCCTCATTGCCTGCTTTTTGGCACTTTGTCAGTGTTTCAGAGCTGCTCAGAACTCAACAAACACAGGCACCAAAGTGAAGGAGCTGGGTATGCTCTGGATCCTTGTGCAGATGGCGGGAGGTGCAATAGGAGAAGCTGGTGGGGACTGACAGGAAGAAGCTATGTGAGGAATGACAGTGCTAGAGTGGGGAGTTTGAACTTGATCCCCAGGAAGTCCAAGGAGGCTTTGAGAGGGGCACAGGCATGTAGCAAGAACAGCCCTGAACTGCCCCTCCCCTTTAGCACTCCTCAGCCTCATATGACCTCTTTTCCCTTTGAGGCCTCGTTTTTCCCACCTGGAAAATCTACTGGTAGAACTGTCTGCGGGCTAATGGCTAGTTTTTTGTGTTTCTCTAGGGTTTTCACCAGGCCTTCCTCCCAGGGGCCCAACGTGACTTGCGACCCATGGGTCTTATGAGCCTAGGAGCTGAGCTGATACGGGTGAGAAGAGAAAAATTTTGTGAATTGTTGGATAATGAAACAAAAGGAAAATTGTTAAGTACCGAGATTGACTACCCCAGGTCAGTGCAGGAAATGTGTTTATGTCTAATCAGATGACATGAACAAGTTTTTCTTTGTTATTTTAGTAAAAGAAAAAATGATATCAAATGCTGGGACAAGGGTGAAATGAAGCAGGTAGTTTTTACACTCTAAATTGGTGTGGTCCGCCAGGCGCCAGTGGCTCACGCCTGTAATCCTAGCTACTTAGGAGGCTGAGGTCTGAGGATCGTGGTTCAGAGCCAGCCCGGGCAGGAAGGGCCGTGAAACTCTTTATCTCCAATAAACCTCCAGAAAACCGGAAGAGGCGCTATGGCTCAAGCCATAGAGTGCTAGCCTTGAGCTGAAGAGCTGAGGGACTGCACTCAGGCCCAGAGTTCAAGTCCCATTACTCAAAAACAAAAACAAAACACAGAACTAAAGTAGATACCTTAAGTAAGAGAAACTGGATAGATTTTTTTTTCTCTTTTGACTGGATTCTTTTTATTGGTAGTTAATTTTTTTTAATTTAATTTTATTTGTGAACACACTGTACAGAGGGGTTACAATTACATGGGCGGGATAATGC